ACTTTTCTTATAGAGCACAGACAGCAGCATACATCAGGAATCTTTTAAGTCCTGTATGCTTAATCCAGAATGCTCGACAAAGATTGGTCAGTCAGAACAAATGCATTTATTTTCAATTTTCTTTGTGAAAGCTTTCGTTAGTGATGTCAATTATATTTACCGTGTTCTGTCTTAGTTCTCCAAATTGGATTAGTACAGATAAACTTGGATAAGGTCATTTCCTTCCTATACATAAATTCCAAATTTTATCGGCAAAAACGAAGTTATTTACGATACAAAAATAGCTTTAATTGGCAATGTTGGTCAGAAAATGGAAAATGTCGGTTGTGTTTAGAAATCCCCTGGCTCACACTTTTGGAAACCCCTTTGTCCACATAAAATATCGAAGATAGATAATCATTGTTCTGAAATTCTACAACCGAAGGAATCGTAATTCATATTCAGGTGTGTTCTATATACAAAAGTCATCATACCTAACATGTAATGATGCATATCTCAGAAATGAGAGGGAAGAGAGTTTTGCCAAAAGTAAAATATGAAAATTTATTCTGACTGGCTTATCTTTGTCGAGCATTCAGGATTAACAATACATATATTTGGAACGATATAAAGTCCGTTTCTTACCTGACCTCTTTTTTTTTACACTCTTCGACTTGTACAACCCTGTGTTTACATTTTGGAGACCCCTATGTGGCGATTGGACGCTGTGGATCTATTGCCAGCCTGTGATGCGAACTTCGAGCATCAAGCAGAGTTAGAGAAGGAGAGAAAACGGAATCACAATCTTTTAATGTTTAAAGAATATCCAGTATGTAAAATGTAACTTATCTGAGTATTATAATTCTTAAGTTTGTTTTCATTTTATACATATGATTTATGAAACTCTTCGGGAATTTAATGTTGAACTCACCAAGACTCGTTAAAAAGATTCGTTTCATAAAATCTATATATATGTACATATATATAACTAATAACAAGAAAATACCAACATGTCAACATGACCATAATGTTAACATATAAAATATGAACAAGAGAAAGCGTTAAACGGAGACTAATTTTAAAAAAATTAAGGAGAATAAGACCAGGTGCTCCAGAAGAGTAACTGTCTTCTGCTCCATCGACGATAGCCGCTATGTAAATCTTGGCCTATACGATTAATGATGTCACGTTTTCAAATAAGAACAATGTATACAACAACGGAACCAACAGGCAAGTCAACGAGTATCAAACATGTCCAGTTCCATATCAAGACGCAGGATATTTCTCATTGAAATCACTATGACGATCGAAAAACTACAATTTTCATCAACCTGCAACTTTTAAAATCCTGTGTAACGAGTTTGCACGTATGATGACGACTGTTTGTACAAAAACAAAAAAAAAAACCCGCATTATTGGGAACAGGCCCTTGAATATTGAACTGCGACATCTCACGAACATCATAGGTTTGGGATGCAGGTATGTTGCTATCTGTAAATGGAAACTTCACAATAGGAAAATTGAAATCATCACGCTTATCCTACAGTTTGGGCAAGTGGAAAGCTTTCTCCATGTTGCTTCTGTTGTAGGAAAATATCGGGAGAAGCGGCTTATGCCATGTGGAGAAAAAGGCTTGCTCAACTCTTTTAATATTCATGAAGTAATGACGCCAAAACATTTTTGACATCATCAAATATTGAGAGGCGGCAAGCATGAAAACGGGGGTCATAAGGGGGTACAAATAGATTTTTCTTTATTATTGACTTTGTATCCAATATCAGATATAGAGGTAAAACTAAATTTAATTTGTATGTCTTGCTTATCCTTGATTTCCAATTCTGATGGGTGTATACGATTTACACGATCAATACATTTCTTGTTATTCAAAGACACGACAATACGTCATCAATTTTATCTGAAAGTGAAATAAAACGACTTTTCAAGGTCTTTGTGACATGTTTTGATAAGTTCTTTGATAAATTCAGTCTCGCATGACGACAATAACAATTTTAAAGTCACCCAACAGAGGGGCACAATTACCATTGTACATGTAGTTCCCATGCCAATAGTCTCGGTTTGGATATCTTACCAACAAACTCGTTGTCAAACAAAAACTCGATCACTTTATGATGTCATCCCTTGTATATTTATTCTTTGATTTGGACGTATTTTTCACGAAATACACACCAGTATACATGCAGTCCACAACCAAATATTTGTATCTCCTGTCACCTTTCCTAGAAAAGAAAATTTTCATATCAATGGAACAAATACTTTCTTTCAAGTTATAATGGGGTATGGCGATGTACTGAGTGGGAAATCACATACACGATTTTTTTTGTATGTACGTGTTTATTACTTTACTTTCTAATTTATATTTCATCATATCAGTTTGTTGTATGAAAATCAGTATGACGGACACGATTTATATTAAGACAAAGAAAAATTCTTGTATGTATGTATATTTTTTATGGAATGGGCTTGAGCAAGTCTATTATTTGCGCATGGTTTACAGAGGCGTAAACTAATTTAGTCTTTTGAGGAAAACCCATCACACATGCGTAAACAATGGCAATTTTTACACTTCCTGGTGTCTAACATCCTGTTAGACAGGTGTAATACAGGTAAATATTCATTCGTTTTGTTTATTTAGTATGTAATTCCATTGAAATTGTGTCTCTCTGATTGATATGTAAAATAACATGCTAAAATATGCGATATGTATAGATCCCAAGTAACATGAATCTTAACGTGATCTTTCGGCTTCACTTGTTTGACGCAGACTGTCGCGATCGTCCATCGAAATCTTTTCAAACAAACGTACTCGATGCAACTTTTCCATCTGCTGTCTACATTTAGCTGAATATACGTCTACGGTGCTGGGTTTATCGCTGTTGGGATTCCTCCCTGGGACTCTGTTATACCGGACGTCTGTCATGTTGACAATTCGAAGAGGGACATCGCCAAACTTCCGATATAAATAAGTTACAAGGAGGAATACCACCAAAAAATAGGAGCTGAGTGAACTGCATTGACCAGGCTTGCACATGCGGTCATCACAAAGCCACGGGCAAATAGATGTGATTGTGGTTGGTTTGTGTATTCTGACTCGTCCCCCCTCCCCAACCTACCTCTCTAGCCATGCTTAATAAGGAATTACTGTGATTTATCTTGATATATAACATCTCCATTTATACGTCATAGATCGCAAGCTGGTAGACGAAGAGCACTAAAGTCGTGGTGCCAAATGTATACACTTCATACCAAGAGATCTATACTTTATACCAAATATAAAAAGTCGCCCTAACCTGGTGGTGTGCATCCCAAAGTTGTAATATTATCAGACAATGTCAGGATCTAATGAGTATCATTTCCAGCAAGTCATTCCAATCATGTTTGTTATAATAGCATTATTTAAGAAGCGTGAAATCATCACCATGAAAAGACTTTTTTTCAAAACTTTGAAAAGTTGTCATATAGCAGGTTAAGATAATTTCCAATCAGGTTGGGCGCAACCCCACATAGGTAGCACATAATATATAGACAACAAAAATCATCGTACATTTAACTAACTAATTGATTATTCAAAGCAGTAAGTATAAGTTTCCCTTAAATGTGGTACTGTTATCCTGATGTAGGTTAGGGGAGGGGGACCTGTTAATGATAGAATGAAAGTATGAGTGTTCATGTGGACAGGCCTTTAATGCTAGCACAATGTCACATGTGGCATTCTTCAGGGTTCTGTACTCTGACTCATTTTTAGCAGGCTCATGATTTTAGCTGCATCCATGAACAAGTGTTCTCACTAAGATGACAAAATACTTGAATGGTTCACAGTAAATAACCTATCGTAATTAGCTTTTAAAAAAGGATGACACCAAACTATACTGGTGCCAATGATAATGACTTGATATAAACTCTGAATGACTTAGACCAGGACTAAAGCAAAACAGCTATCTGAACGGGAAGTAAGTCTGAGACTTGTTCAATCACCAGCGAAAAAAACAACCACTTTGACTTTGATGAGTATATCAAAAGCCTAGTAAATTTAGACCAGGACAACAGGTCAGACTCAAACATAGACACTGTGTGTGGATAAGAGACCTTTGCATTGTTATTTAAATTGTTAGTGCAACCAGGAATGGATTATGTAAGCTTTTGTTGGGGCCCATACTTACAAAACATAGTATTGAGGATGTCCGAAGACATGCTGCAAATTAGATGCTTCTAGGATTCAGAGAACTAGTAGATTCAAATATGATGACAGACTGAAATTATGAATATCGATCTTGAAGTTTTGTAGATTATGTAAATCTTATAAAGGTTCTGAAATTACTAATTGGTGTGTATGACAAGATAGTATCCAATGAATCACTTGCACTAAATGGAGCACCAACATGAGACCCTTCCCTTAAAGCACATGGACAGCAGTGATGAAGAATGTTGTCTCCTCTGGAATATGAATTAAAAATAAAGCCAGGTTTACATCATGAAAACCAAGCAATGAAATAGACAAATCAAACAAAGCTACATATTTTCCTAATCCAAAATGGCAAAAGTAGATCTAGAATACAGAAGTACACCAGAACTTGCATTCAGAATGAACATCTTGAACGTAGGGTAACATTATAGGACCAGAAGTTTGTCATGGTGCAGTGGATGTTTCTATCAATTTCTTGTAATAAAGGTTATAACTCTAAACTCCTTTGTGGATGTAAACTCCATTTGGTCTGAAACATCCAAAGGGACTGACATTATCTTTTTATCATACCAGTTGGTAGGAGGAATTTTTCTATTGAATCCAGAGCATCATTTCCTAAATGTTTAGGAGTCCAGTTACAAAGCCATATAGTGGAATGTCTTAATTTTAAAAAAATCATTGAATCCAGAACTCATACATTTGAGTCCCAAAAATAGCTGGACATATAGTGTTTCCTATTTCTGTTTGTCCCATCATTGTATATTGTCAGTTATGTTTCAATAATTCTATGTACATTGTGAATTGTAGATAATTTTAAGCATGTAATGGGAGATGGTCTGAAGATGATGGATTCAGCGGTTTAGTACTAGCTAGCCCATAAGTTGTGTCAAAATGCAGACTGAGGACATAACAAGCAAACCATACTACTTCGCCAACTTCAGGAATACCACCGAGGTGAGGACAAAAAATGTCTGATTTAGCTTCAAAGTATGTGATGCCATATAACGTTGCACTTATCACATGCAAGGTGTTTTTTATAATAATAAAGTAAGTTAATGTATAGTTGTAGACAATTGTTATCAATTAACAACTGACCCAGAGCTGATAACTATCGTTGTAGACAAGACATACTTAGATAGATATAACACTTAGTATTATTACTGTTATTTATGGTAAGTACATATTTTGTGTTAATACATATAGGATAGTAAGTTTGTATGTCTATAGCTACAGTTAAAGGTAGATATAGGAGCAATTCTATATCAAATATGATTGGATGGGTGACAGGTATTTCATGGCCTAGAGCAGAGAATATTCAGGTATTTCATAGCTAGAGCAGAGAATAGACAGGTATTTCATAGCTGAAGTGGAGAATAGATAAGTATTTTATAGCTAGAACAGAGAATAGATAGTTATTTTATAGTTAGAGCGGAGAGTAAACAGGTATTTTATAGCTAGAGCAGAGAATATTCAAGTATTTCATAGTTAGAGCAGAGAATATACAGGTAATTTATATCTATAGCAGAGAATATGCAGATATTTTATAGCTAGAGCAGAGAATAACAAGTATTTTATTGCTAGAACAGAGAATAGACAGGTATTTCATAGCTGAAGTGGAGAATAGATAAGTATTTTATAGCTAGAACAGAGAATAGACAGGTATTTCATAACTAGAGTTGAGAATAACAGGTATTTTATAGCGAGAGCAGAGAATATGCAGATATTTTATAGCGAGAGCAGAGAATATGCAGATATTTTATAGCGAGAGCAGAGAATATGCAGATATTTTATAGCGAGAGCAGAGAATATACAGATATTTTATAGCTAGAGCAGAGAATATACAGATATTTAATAGCTAGAGCAGAGAATAACAAGTATTTTATAGCTAGAGCAGAGAATAACAAGTATTTTATTGCTAGAACAGAGAATAGACAGGTATTTCATAGCTGAAGTGGAGAATAACAAGTATTTTATAGCTAGAACAGAGAATAGACAGGTATTTCATAACTAGAGTTGAGAATAACAGGTATTTTATAGCTAGGGTAAAAGATAAGATATTTTTCCAAGGGTTTTTCCTTGGCCTGCAAATTAAGCATAAAGAACATGCATTTATTTCGGCTTTTCTTTTTCTTTATTCCACGCATTGATTCATTAAAATAATATTTCTCTTTTTTTAGGTTGCGGATTATCTGAAGCTTAAAGCAAAGGGTACAGTAGGGGTATTCCTGGTGCGACCAAGCTTTAAGAACCCCCAGAACCTTACTGTGTCTGTGGTGTAAGCATATTTTATATCTAGGTGTCAAGGAACTCTATTCATTAGTAATTACTATAAAGACTATATACATATTACAAATCAAAGAACCCGAAAACCTTATTGTGACTGTAGTGTACATCCAAAAAATATGTTATATTATCAGTATTTGTCTTAGTTCCATGGTTATCCCATATTAGTGTGCTGACATGTGTGAACGTCTTATCTATTGTGAGCTGAGGAACCAGTTTGTGTCTTTACACATAAGAAAATATTGTTACAGAATAATATATGCTTTCTCAAATGAGTGGAACAATGCCCTGACCTACCCCGGCCGGCCTATGATCATAATATTTAAATATCCCGGAGTTCTCGAAGATATCTACTTTAGTTAAAACTACCAGATTTATGACAATTAGTACATTTATGATGATAAACCCACTCCTTTTAATAATTTCAATTGTGTCACATCAAACACTCCACCTAGTATGAATCAGAGTTACAATATGCATTTTTGAAAAAAAGAAAGATATTTACAATATTATAACTTTTGTTTTACATACATTCCTGTGGTAGATTGAGAGCTCAGAAAACACAACAATACTAAATATTAGTCTTGCATTATATTGATGAGGTCATGTTAGCTACATTGATAGGAATTCAGTTTGTTTAAAATTCAACACTGTGCTTAACATATGATGACAGGACATTTATCTCTTAAGTAATATATCCTATCTGTTTATATAATTGTAATAATACAGCATTTTTCTGTTGAATTTTAATATCATTTTCCAATTTTTTATGAATCTAATTACATGTATTATAAGTTGAAATGTCAAAAAGTTAAAAGAAAAATTTTGAAAATTGGAGTCTGCAGACTCAAAAGTCTATGTGTCAAAAATCTCTTTCATTTAGAATTATCTGTATAAGGAATGTACATACAGTTATGTAAATCAAGGAGCCTGTGTGACTTGTACAAAGCGTTAAATAGAGTCTCTGAATGTAAAGATTATCAGAAGCTCAAACACTCCTTGTTGATGGTAAGTTCTGTGAAAAATGCATCTTTTATACTTGCATGACAAAAATGAAATCAAAGTATTAATGGCATTTTGAGGTATCAACACAGATCACAAATGTTAAAATAAACTTAAGGAAATTTGATAAGTGATAAATATGTATTTCTTTGAATTGCAGTGTGAAGGATAAAACAGTGCGCCACACCAACATTATAGTTGACTACAATGGCAGCACTCGTACCTACTATCTTGTGAAGGAGAAGCAGTTTTGTACGTTACAGGATTTGTTGGAATATTACAGAACTAACGATGTGAAGAATCTTGAAAAAGTGAATCATGTACGGTTTCTGAAACCAGTGATGCGGTCTGTCAGAGGAAGTAGTCATGATGACAGTTCCTCAAATTCTAGCAACACATTATGCCCACCACAAGCGCTTGCGCCTGTCCCTTTTGACAGACCTCCCCTTCCAAGCCGTCCTACTACCCTCCAACGTCGTCATAACAACAGCAGCAGCAGCCAGAACAGTTTGTTGAATTCAACTTCTTCAATGCAAGATTTATCTCCCATGGAATTTGCTACTGGGTCTTCAAGGGGATTTGCTCAAAACTACTTCCCTGACACCTTTTCTCCTTCCTCACCAGGATCAGTTGATGATCGCCCTCCAGCCCCCCTCCCTGGAGGTCACAAGACTGGTGGTCTGTATTACTCCACACCCAGGGATGTGGATGTTGATATCAGTGATAGACTTAAAGAAGTATTAAAACAGAATGACAGATGTGACTGTGGAATTCCTCGTGAAATGGCAGATATGCCTTTAGGTTGGACCGTTCACAAAAGTAAAGATCCAGGTACCTATGGTAGACTGTTTTTTCAAAATGTTCAAGGTGTTACGACATGGAAGATTCCCGCTGAAGTGCAGGCAAATATGACAGTGCAGCAAAACTACAACATCAGAACTCTTACTGAAATGTTTTCTAACCGTGAGCCTAGGCCGCCTTACTCACCTTCCGCCTCAACTGGGAGTGACATCAGTGATTTCAGACCAGATTCTGGACGCAGGTCCAACTTTACTGTATATGGTGGCCAAAGTTCAAATATGACCACAACACAGTTTTAATGATTAAATGGTGATCCATATATTAATGAAATTGGTGGTATGGAAAAAAATCAGTTTGTGCTGACTGTGATGTGATACAAGGAGAATCATGTATGATATTACATTTTGTTCACGGCAGTCTTAGTCATTTCCATGAATTGTGTTCCAGCAAGAGGTTGAATTTGTTATGGTAAATCACAGTAATGTAGATTGTTTCAGGAGGTAGTTTAATTGTGCAATGTGAAATTCACTCTAGATACGAAAAAAAATTTTTGCAGATCTTCCAGAAAAGGAAAATATGTTAAAAATATTTACCACATTAGAAAAATTCCTATTTTATATAATAAGAAAATGATACTTGCTCATTTGCTTTATGGTATGACGTTGCTTTTACAAGGAAAAAAATATATTGTTACATTATATAGTACCATCAGTACCCAGTTATTTTGTACCATTGATTGTGTCTAAATTCAGAGTTACTTCCCTTGGCTTACTTCCTCATTGAGGTTTGATATACAAATAAATATAAATTTAATAACTGAATTGAAATACAGTCTACCAGCATTCAAATATCACTTTTGCTTAATATGTATCGTATATTTATATATTTTTAGATTTTTGTTTAACTTTTATTGTATTTAGGTTGTATTTTAAGTTGAGTGTATGGTGTGTGGAGTAAATGAGTTATTTGAAGGATTTTTTCAAACATATCAATTTAAAGTTTAAATGTATCATTTTTTTGTTTTTTTTTTTGTTTTTTTTTTTTTTTTTTTTTATTAAATTTTTTTTTATTTTTTTTTTGTTTTGTTATTTTTTTTTTTTTTTTTTTTTTTTTTTTTTTTAATTTTCACAAAATCATCCAGGAAGAAGCTATTGATTACAGCTTGCTATCCAAAATACGACTGAACAAAGTAGATGTATGTAGATATAAGCTTGTCCATGTTGGTGTCCATACAAAACATGCAAGAGTTTTACATAATCATATATAGCAAAGAGTTTCCCAACTGAAGTTTGCATGGATAACTGGTGTCATGAGATATGTCAGCAGTAATATGTTATGATATATATTTATGTATATGCGATAAATGAATAAGAAGGATATAAAGAAATACACATGTACTTTTGAAAATAACATTCAGAAAAGTTTACACGGAGTACTGAAAGATAACAAATGGTCTATATAATTAGACAATATAAAATAGGTGGATGATATTTGCTGTTTTAGCAGTTCAGTTGCTTTTAGTTTTGTAGGCATTGTATGAACATTTGACCTATTGGTTCCGATAACTATTTCATTATCAATGTTGTATACAAACTACAGAATAATTCAATGTATTACCAGTATTCGTAGAAATTGTGCCAACCTAGCAATAAAAATATTGCCAACAAATACATATCTTAGTATATATATCCTTCAATGTATGGTTCTGTTTTATATCATACATATATATTGACACGGTGTTGGGAATCATGAAATACTTTTATTGATGTATTTACAGATAATGTTACTGTGACAGAAAGAAATCAATTCAGATTTTAAAGAATTTTTGATACGCACTGTGCTTGTCTGCATTTTTTTCTTATGATTTCTCAATGATACAAAGATGAATGAAAAAAAAAAACATTTTTTTTCTGAAGATTTTGTATTCTGTCAAGACCCTTGGTATACATTTACAAACTGTTGTTTATATCAAAAGATAAGGAAAAAATCAAGAAGAATCAGTATAAAATTGAATGTCTTTTAAGGGGAAAAAAAGAATAAAATGGATGAAATTTGCAATTATTATCATTTGAGATTTGATTCTGAATTTATCAAACTCAAAGCATAGCTCTGGATTAAAGGCAAATGATTCACAATATATTGACTCTGAAAACTTGAAATTTTATCGCATGTTAACAGAGAATGAACAATCCAAGAGCCTGGTAGAAATATTTTTTGATTTCATGTAACAAATTTTTCCTTCTTTTTCAGGAAAACTTGTGCATTCACTTACTACAAATCAATCTTTTTTTGGAAAAAATAAGTAAACACTGAAATGGAAATACATGTCTACTATATATAGCCAAGGTCAGTCAAATTTCTGTGATAAATAACATGCAACCTGTAAATATATATATACCAAGCCGAGGATATTTAAGCATCATCTTGTACATATGTTATTAAGTAATGATACAATGTCTCATTTTAAATTCACATTTTAATTATGATATGTACCATATGATTTAGATGTAATTTAAAAGGTATGTACATATGTTAGAATAGACATGTTTTTATAAGTTAAAGATTTTCTTATGGACGCCTTCACTATTCACGATTAAAATTGTTAGTATTAGATGCTGATTGTATGATGTATTATATGAATACAAGAGTAATATATATGTATTCAAATTGTTAACGGTATACCAGTAAAAAAAATTTTTTTCATATAAAGAAGAGGTTTAAAATCATTGTTCAATTTTGTTACCTAAAACCTTCACATTTTGTGTTGCTATTAATGATGTGTAATCTGTGCTCATTCCTATAATGAGATGAATTGATATCATTTAGTGACTTTTTTTGTTTTTTTTATTTTATTTTATTTTGCATATTGGACATAATAGTTATACAGTATTTAGTTATTATACCACAGATAAAAGAACTGTTTTATTTTTTGCATTAAGTAGCAGATCCAGACCACTTTTTTCACTTACTTTGAATAATTAGCCTTGTAGTCTGTATATCTGCCAATCCTTGTATCCATACTGAGGATAAACTACTTCATTTATAAACAGCTCAAAATAAAAATCACCGTGCGTCACTATTTTATCATACATGTTTTTAATTTTCTTCCTGCACTTTTTTTTATCCTCCCTTAACTGTTTGGAAATTTGATTTGTATGGAATATGGCTTGAATGCCTGAATACTTGATTAAATGTCAGCTTTTTTTTATTAGTTTATGAATTGCAGAAGAGCGATCAGAGGTAATCAAGATTCATGAAATCATCTACCCCTGGTAAATATTTAACAAAGACTACGTACATGGAACTGATTTATACAGAATGTTGTACATTGTATTAACCATTTTCTTGCCCAGGGTACTGATTTTGAATGTCTTCTCCATACCAATAGAAAAAATTAATAGCCCAGAGTAATGACTTAAATTATGTACTACATACAGATGTAGAAAGTTTATAGAACATGACAATTTATACTAGTTAACAGGGCACTGTTGGAAACATTGACAAGTAATTATATCAAGACGTCAGTATGTTGTGATATGTGCAGGTAGTTGTGATCCCATGCGTAACTGGGATGAGGAAGAGAAATTAGGGGTGCTGTGGATGTCGTCTGTCCTTTATTTTGGGTTTTGTTTTTTTTTTATGAAGTAATTTGACATTTTACAAGAGTATGGTCCTTGAGTTGTTGGAATGGTTAACAGTTTTAAACAGGCACAAACAGTTTTATTTAATGGAGCAGTGAATGTAGAGAAACAAATTTGCAATTCACACTAAGTTTATTGAAAAGATAAGTGAAAGACATTTTAATTCTGTAATGGACCAGATACCAGTGGGAAAGGATCAAACTATATAATAAATTGTCAAAATAGGTTTTATCAAAGGCAACTGTATAACTGTGAATTAGAATTATTGATTCCGTTTCGTTTCCTTTTGTGCAGTGAAGTACTACTTTGTAGTATATTTTCGTGAAAACTATTTCGAGATCTTTGACATGAAAAGGGAGATAACAAATCTACGTCTGATGGGGAATGTAGATTGTTAGTTCGTCATTGTCTGTCTATATGATCCTGGTTTTGTCGTGGTGTGGTTAATTTGGTGATTCTGGGTTTCTCAGCTGCTCTTAAACAAAATTTCATTGTAGCGAATGAGAATATGTTTTCTGTGGAATGTTGAAGATGAAATATAACGACTTATGCTCATTGCTTTGTTTTGTACATTATAAATATATATTTATCCACGTTGATTTGATGACAGATCTATAACAGAAGTGATATACATTAAAATTGACTAAACCAAAAATTAATTTCATGTTTGTGATTATTTCAGTAGCCTTTCAAATAAGCACGGCATGCAACTATGAAGAACACCAAATTATACACCATCACACACATAACATCTGACTAATATAGGAAAACTGGCTTAGGCGGTCTTCCCAGGCATTTATAGAAGATAACTTTTATTTAACAATCGTAAAGAATAAGATCCGTATACAATTATCAAGTACACTTAATTATACACTATGACGTCACATACAATTCTGATTTGCACGTTGTATAAAGGAAAACTGGTTTAGATTAGACCGCCTTCCCACGCATTAGAATAAGTAAAATGTATTGTTAAGTTGGCCTGTAATAAGAGTCTGCATACTTTGTTCCTCCACAACCAACCTTCATGTCACCTGTCGACTGGCTGTGTGTATTTACTAAAATGAGTCATTGGCGAATTATGAAATACGCAGTGTTCATTTCTAAATCTGGATCTACTGACGTAAACGTTATTTTAATAGAATGAGCATTATTACGACATCGGTGAACATGCATTATCGGTATCACAACAGAACGCTAATCATTTACTGAAAAGTGTCGATATTTCCGAATCATCATTGGAATCGGAAACCTAAATGGAAAGATTTTCAAATCGGGAAAATTAAAGTTTGAAACTGGCATTTTGTCAACTTGTTTGGTGTTATCTCTTTGGTGTTTTCAGTCGGCACGTACATTTGCTAACGAAAGGACCTGAATTACAGTTTCCGCCTCCCTAATGTTAAGATAAAGAGACTGCCTGTTGGTAATTAACATACCTTAGAATCCGTTAGCAAGTGTTCCTGTCGACAGATATACAAAAAGAGAGCACATGCTTCTTCGTCAAGTAGTTTTTAGACAGCGATATTATCAGAACCCTTGATGCTGAGGTTCTCTTACAAACGCGGTGTCCGTTTCCATTTTCATGTCTACAGAAGATATTTTTTTTATGTTGATGTGTAAAATTTCCCCTCTCCCGATCCAAGGATTGTCTAGGGGCCGTTTTGTGTCTTTTTAGATTGGTTTATCCAGGGAGAGTTGGTGAGTGGCACTCATCGAAATGAATTTTATGTTGATAGTGACCTTAACCTAAGATGCATTTTAACCTGAAAAGCCGTACAAAAATAGCATATGCAGTCGTTTAATACAGCAGTGTGGTTTGAGATAGATCGGTCCATGGGAAATCAAATCATTGAAGGACACCAGTTTCCGTTTACCGTCACTTTCAACCTTTCACGTCAAAAATACATCCCTAGCAAGCTATGTCGGTAGATTCGGTCCAAACGAACTTGAGTTATTGGGCGGTAATAAATTTGTACTGTATTTTGTTTTAGTACGAGTGGCCTTGCGTTTGACCTTTTGACTCCGAAAGCAAGCCCTCCCGATCTGGAAGCGGCGTGTGAAGTTTGTATATTGTCTTGAAATGGTGACGCGGACTGACAGCGACATCAGACTATCCTCTCCCGATCGTCATTGGTCTGGTGAATGATAAATTAAACAGCTATTTTTTCACTGTTTCTAGTTCTACATTTTATTGAAAGTTGCCATTCAGTTGTGTATCTTTTGCACGCTCATCTATGAGAGGGGTTATTTTATAAATGATACATTGTCTGGCGCAATCAGTTCTTGTGGTGTACAATGATAGCGATGAATGCCGACCTCCGCCGAATCTCCTTCTTTCAGTTAAATGCATTTTGTCTGTTAATAGTCTAGACCCGGAAGAAATAGAAGTGGAAGAGGGTGTGTTCGTTCGAACGTACACAAGCATTTAAATATCTTAAACAACACATGTTATCTACATGTGAGCCTTCCGATGAATTGGTTACGTCACTACGTCACCAGGGCGATATATCAACAACTGTATTTGTTCCCATTGTTGGTGTTCGAATTTCGGTACACGTATACTTGTAGTGTATACAATAAAACTACGCATGATAGCATAAATGTAATAGAGGATGTATGAAAAGACCGTAATGTAACGTGATAGGCCGAGTCAATAATTATGTCTCAATATATACATCCTGTTAAAGCAGACTTATACGCAGACCGTGTTTGTCAGGGAACCTTCTTAGGTATATACACTGAACGAAAAGTTACAAATAACTGGCATTATGATGAAACAGGATCATTTACGAATGCTTTGTCTCCTGCTTGTTTTCTTTGCTTTGCTCGTTTCAGGTAAGTTGTATTATTTCAGTCTCAAATTAGTGTTCTTTCCTGATCAATGATAAACACAGATATACTTGTAAAGACACTGATCATAGTTTTATCAGCTGTGTTAAATGACAAAAGTTGTTCACGGTCAGGTACTGAATGATTCCGTGCATAACGTCCACTTCTTTCGGTTATCACCATTTTTAAATCTGTAAAATCGAAAATTCCGAGGGCTAAGATCCTGTAATGCCCTAACCTCGACTAACGATCTTAGCCCTCGACTAAGATATCCCGATTTCCGCTTTGATTATTTTTGCGAGGAAAGATGTGAATTGTTTTTGTGATAAGAGAATTGTTTTATTTTCTATTATTACATATTAGAAAATTCCACGAAACAAAAAGACAGCATTTTTATGATAAAACTACCATAGGTTTTTAATTTCGGTCAATAGATTGTTTTAGACTTATGAAAAAAATATCAAGCGCGGACTCCACCTTCGGTCGATATTTCTTTCAGGTTGATAAAACTGTTTTTGGACCTTGTCAAAAGGTTGTAATTGTAGATGTATATTTCCAGTGTTATGCGTAAGAAAACTAGGATTTGCATAAAACTTGATCAGGAATATGTTTACACGTGTCTTTCAGTCCTTATTACCACCGAATTTTATCTGTGCACATACATTGTTTCAAAACTACATACATAATGCTATCAATTCACATAAAAATAGGAGGGAAATGAGTAAAATTGTAGAATGAAGATTAATCATTACGACGGCTGAATGTCCACCTACATGTTATGCATAAAACCAATACGGAAAAAAGTAGTTTTGTGAGTGTTGGCTCATCATTCTAACCTATTTCATTTGAGCATGTGATATGAAAATAAAGAACTCTCAATGTTATGCAAGCTACGACTGATATCATTATATACTCACACAGTGGAATATTAGATTGATAAAAAGCTTAAACTATTGTAAGTAAAATGGAGGTAAGATTTATTTATCGCATTATTCTTTATTTCAATGCCTTCATTTTCTTTACCAGACGTTGATGGTCGAACCGGACATCGGGCCGCACACTATAATTACGGTTCGTATAGTGGAGCTCCGGGATTGGCCAGCTCGTAAGTAATTATGTTCCCCAAACGAAGTGGGGGGACATATTGTGTTTGCTCCGTTTCTTATTATTATTATTTATATTATTCTTATTTCTTCCACTTTCTTCCGCCGGCGAGGTTTCCGACGCGTTTCTCAAAAACTATTGCATGGAATTTAACAAAATTTTCAACACATATTCATACATGCGAGGCGGAGTGCAGGCCACTTGAATTTTTCCAATCGGTCATCTGAGCGGTCAGCTGTGGTCAAAATGTGGCCAAATTTGAGATATTGTCCGATTCTCGTGAAAATTGGTATATATGTATTAGGTGGCACTATAGGAGCAAAATGGCGTAGTCCATGTTTGGCATGACTGCAGGTCTGATTATTGTGATCATTTACTGCTGAAGGGGTCGTTTGGGGGACATTTGTAATGGTCCCCATTACAATTAGTACTTGTTTGATTCCGATTTAATATCTAAGGCATCAGAGAGACATTTATTTCAAAAGCGTGGAAACGAATGAAATTATTTGATATATCATTTATTTCCACATACATTTGAATATACTGATCAGGGTTTGTCTTTGACTTAGACTGAAGAATTACTAGCATTACTTAGTTTTTTCTTCCTTTTATTTGGCTGGTGAAATTTTTCGCCCTTTTTCCTTTCATTGTATTCATTTTTCCACGATTTAATTCCATCATAGAGAACCAAGAGAAAATTAGAACCCCTCGACACAACAATCTTTAAGAGATATTCATAATCCATGTTTTGAAAGAAATTACGCTACAACTGATGTTAGAAGAGGACCATTTTGCGAGCCACTTTTGTCTTTCTGTCCCGAGCCAAAATATAGCTTACATTTTAAGATACTGGCCATGTTTTCTCTATATCTTTATCCATAACTAGTTCCAATGAACGCATAACGTATTTTTTGTGTAGCAGACGACGTCAGAGCAATATTTGGTACACATGACTGTATTTTTCAAACTGGTAGTCCCCGGATAAGACAATGAGTATTGGGATCGGGTGTGATTGGGGAATTTGGTATGGTAACAAATGACGATAAACAAACCTGTCCAGTGTGCTGAGTTCCTCTCTCTATTTGTTTTATTTCCTTTTCGCAACTTTTCATACAAGAGTTCCAATATAAGTAATACTAAATGCTGAATCGTACCTAATCCAGTGAGCGATGGAGCGATAAGACCAAGCAACTATCTCCCATCTCTTCACCCATTACATATACACAACACAGGCACATTGTGTCTTTGTTTAAAAAACAAAAACATTGCCTTTATGTATAAGATCTTTAAGCTCACCAAGAAGTATTTATGTCTAAAAAAGTGGGATTGACTTGTATAATTTTTATAAGATTATTAATTCACTTTAGATTATGAAGTTTGTTGTAATCTGCATGCCATTTTAAACTAGTGCATTATTTGAATACTGCCACGATTTAAAACACAGTATTCTTTTGAAATTAGTATTTATTGGAAATTGTAAGATGATTAGTTTATTGAATTTTTGGTTTAATGCATATCCTGGTATGGTAAGTTACATTTATTCCCATCAACTTTAGTTTTACTAATTTTTGTTATTGGTTTTAATAGGTTAAGCATCGCTGACGAGACCGAGAAAGAGACCACTGTGTGATACAGTTTGATTCCTTATTGATAATGACGTTAATGTAACTATTTCCTCCCTATTGGAAGGTGATACTCACTTCTGTATACAATGGTACGAAAAAAATATTTAGGGAATATTCATACAATATTGTGTGTTTTAGATATGGAGGGTTGTTCCTCGGGATTGTCAGCGTAATACTTGGGATGGCAATATGTATGCTGTACTTGCCGCCAAGAGTACAGATCAATCACACGTAAAGGTCCGATGGAAAGCAAATTGTAAGTAGACCGGCTTTTTTTATCATTAGACACATGGTTTAATGGGAATGTCATGACGGGACAAATCAAAATAAAGGATTTAAAAAAATGTTTTATCTTTGTGAAGAAAAGCATCCTGTAATACGAATTTACTTCATTTTATGGTCAATGTAGACTGGAGACCTGACGATTCCATGTAACTTCGTCACATACGGTTTGCATAGTGACAGGAGAAAGTAATTAACACCTTGACAGCTCTATTGTATCTTATTTGTTTTCTTGTATTACAAAGAGTAATTTAATGTGGAATCATGAAAATAGAAGCTCTCATGAAAAAAACTAAAAAAAATAAAGTCATATCAATCGGCATGATTAATAGATGATCAGAATCATATAATATATCAAGATTGACTTTCTCTTCTGGCGAGATATCGGTTGAATCAAAACGAGGTTGAAATATAAAGCCGGTCTTTGAAAAATCAGTACGCAGTGATTTATCAACATTAAGTTTTAATCTAATTATACAATATATTAAACTACGCTGTATATACATGTGACAATGATGTTGTTTCATATTACTTAAGGGATATGACTTTTTGACAGTTATATACATATGTCATTGTAAAACGGCGACATAACGTAAATACACTGTGACTCAACGATATTGATAGTAAAATATGCAACGATAAGGCATACTGTGTCAATAAAACAATTCCATTATCTATATATGGATATCTTAATTAGGAATAAGCTGATTGAATGGAGATCTTTCGAAACATTCGTTATTCTTATTTGTCTTATAGTTGTAATCCGAATGTTATCTTTTTATTCATTTCAGTATTTTTTTTTATTTCAGGCCCAGCACATGTAACAATAACTCCCGATAAACATTTATTCTTCCTGTGAATCTTTCTTCAATTAGTATTTTTGCATGTTTATTAACACCGAGTAAATTTTTTTTTTTTTTTTTTTTTTTGTGTGTGTGTGTGTTTTTTTTAATCGCTTTTGGTTATTAATACATTCAGCTTTTCAACGTAAGCGTTACCTTCAGGACAATGCTTAGAATCATTTGTTTTTGCAACTTTGAAATTTTGGGTACAGAGAATTTTCGAAAACAAAATCAAGATATCTACACATGTTACTTATATATCTTGTATATTGCATACTAGGCACAAATGCCTGTTATGATACAGGCTATATAAATCATATTGTCTTTTCCTCGTCGATACACAAGAAGACTGTAGTTTAACATACTAAACATATTTTATCTGTACATCTATATTTAACATATGAACGTGACGATATCCAAAATGGAACGCTACCAAAACTGGAACACTTCTCAAATATGTGATGCAGACTTATTATTTTGCAATATAAATGAATACCAAGTATTCTAAACAAGAAATAATGTTTTAATATATAATTTTATATTATTTATTAGCCTAGCCCGTGTCTTCTATGTTGCTTATCATCTCTTATTATCATTTAAAAAAATAAATTGTTAAAAAAATTCCTGGAAATGATGCCATGCGATAATACAATATATATGTTTCTAAACAAGGAACATTATTGTTGATAAAAACAAATTAATGTTTTTGATAGACAAATTCTGTGATAAACTTTTATAGAATGAAAAAAAAAAAACATAAAAGATTATGTGTGTTATCTCTATTAATAAACAGAATATAAGGAACGTTCCATTTTCGGTACTCCTAACTGTTGAACCACATTGTAGAAAATAGCATGCCTTGTTGCGTTCTATCTATAGACACGTGTGCTGCTGACTGGCAACCAAAGCACGGAATTAAAGTTGAAGGATCTTTTCTTTCTTAGTTTTTTGTTGTTGTGTGAAATATTAAGAAAAAATACACGATTCAAACACGCACTAGCAAGTCTTCTTCAAAACGTGTCTCAATTTGGATAGCGTCATGTTATACGTTTGTACATTTTCTGTTGTAAATATGACGTTGATAAATACCGGTGATAAAAAAATAGTTTTGTATTATTATCTATTTTGTTTTTATTTAATGTTTATACTTTCATAATTTTGAAAATATGCCATAAAATTGTGAACCGAATATGACAAGATATAATATTGCGATCTTAAGTAATCGTGCCTTGTTACTAGTTGATTTCTGTGTTTACATATACGGTATATCGCAATTAACTTTTAGCTAGTGTAGACCAGGGAAGTTACAAATACTAATGTGTCTGTTTACTTGTTGAAACAGTTTACTAAATATTTTCAGTTTTACAATCTTCATCTTCTTTTCATGTATAATTCTTTATATCAGGCATCTTGTGGATATGCCAAATTATTCTGTATCAGACAAATGTTGTAGTATTACTTAATTTGTTGTATACGATCAAATAAAAATAAAAATCCTTAAAGAACGATTATCTTGTTTGATTAAAAATCTACTGAATGACACACACACACACACACACACACACACCCACACCCACCCACACACACACACACACACACCATTTATATACAAGTTTCATATTCAAAGCTCCTCTGATCCCTGTTGGTGAAATCAAATTCTTTACACAGTCAATGCTAATAACGGAGGTATTTCCAACCAGAATAATGAACAATTAATGACCCCATTCCTACTACATGTACGCGTCTGTATCAGTTTGCTTATCCGTGCTTAAGAAGATACTAAATACTTACGTTAGTACAAAGATATAAAAAAAAAAAAAAAAGTACTATCGTTGACGTAAACTTTAAAACTAAGGTCATATTTGGATATTTTATTTCGCACTGCTTTAACGTCCAAGCTAGGACCATTTCTCAGACCAAAAGACTCATCTTGATGACATCAGGACCTAGAAAAATTATGTACATGATGTATGATTAATAATGTGACGTAACGATAACTAATATTTAGATAACGGAGCATATGTTATTAATTCATCAGCATTACTGAGCTGACCTAATTATGTATTTGTGACATTATATTTTTTCTCTAGTAATACCAAATTGAAACCTGTGATTAGTGACAACATTGAATTTTTGTGTTGCTATTTACTAGCAAATATCACATTGTACTCCTGTATGACATGTACTAATGCGACAAAAGGATAGATATGGAAGACACATGAAATCAGACACAGTATGAGGCAAAGGAATAAAGCACATAGAAAATTTTGAATTGATTAACCAACTCACCAGGAAAAAACTACAGACTTATTAGAAATAAAACCATTACAAATATAAGACAGTCAATGCAGTAAATGAAGAGGATGTCCAAGGACTCATTCTTAGGTCCAACGAGGTTTGTTCTACATTAATGACACAGCTAACTGTGTTTTTAAGTTTTACTGTCATAGTCTGATACATGATTGTATGCTGGAACTGAGGATAGTCTTGTTGAACTAGCTCAAATTCTGACTGATGATTTATCTAATATTGTACATTGGGGTAAGAGGTTGGGTCGGAAATTCATTCAAATAAACCAGAATCAGTGCTTTTAGGAGGTGCGGGGATAATAGCAGGACAGCAAAGATACACCTCTCTTGATATTTTGTATAAAGAATTATGCTGGATTCTCTAAGATTTCCGAAGAAAGCAACATAAATTAGTAAGATGTGTAGAATGAAATGCCCAAAACCTGAGCTGTCTGAAAGAACTTATTTACATGATCCAGCACTACCTAGATATCATTTCCGTATTGTTAGAACATTTGACTTCAGGTTTGTCGCACAGACACTTTCTTAAATTAATTATTGTAACAGGATGCACTATATCGGTCATACTATTTGTGATGGGGATGAACCTGATCATCAAGGCGGCAGACCGGGAGACTAGAGGACCCAAAACTTCATCAGGAATGCGAGTACCACCAAACAGAGGGTTCATGGACGACTTGACCATAACAACTACCACCCACGTGCAGGCGAGATGTATCCTGTCAGCACTCGAGGAAACAGTTGGATGGGCAAGGATGAAGTTTAAACCAAGGAAATCTCGATGTGTTGTGATAAAGAAAGGGAAAGTGACCAGAAAGTTCAAGCTCTCGATACAGCAGGAGGAGATCCCAACAATCGTAGACAATCCAATCAAGTGTTTAGGAAAGTGGTTTGATGCTAGCCTGAACGACAGCAAGAATATCAAACGTTTGCAGAACCAGGTGGAAGAAGGTTTGAGGAGAATTGACAAATCAGGACTGCCCGGTAAATTCAAATCGTGGATGTACCAACACGGGCTCCTACCACCTGTACGAGGTTACCACTACCACAGTGGAAACCCTGGAAAGGAAAATAAGCAAATGTCTACGACGTTGGCTTGGAGTCCCCCCAAGTTTCACCAGTGTGGGCCTTTACAGCACCACAGGCAAATTACAACTCCCATTATCATCGCTGGTAGAAGAGTTCAAGGTGGCAAAGGTTAGGCTGGTGATGATTGTTAGAGACTCCAAAGATGAGAAGATCCGGAATGCTGGAATTGAGACTCGAACAGGACGCAAGTGGTCAGCAAGCAGTGCGGTACAGGAAGCAGAGAGCAGGCTAAGGCACAGCGACATCGTTGGGACTACCTGTATAGGCAAACAGGGGTTAGGGTCAACGCGGGTGGAAAGGTGGGGAACAGCAGACACGGCTGGTAGGAGGAAGATGGTTCAAGATAACATCAGGAAGATGGAGGAAGAGATCAGGAAGGTTAAAGCTGTAGAAATGGGAGCACAGGGAGCATGGACCAAATGGGAGACAACGGAAAGACGTCTTACATGGGCAGATATCTGGAAGTTGGAACCATGTAGAATCCAGTTCCTCCTGCGATCAGTGTATGATGTCCTACCAACACCTACCAATCTTCACCGATGGGGGATGACGGAAAACCCCAACTGCCCACTGTGTGACCAACCGGGTAACCTGGCCCATGTATTGTCATCGTGCAACACCGCTCTGACCCAGGGGAGATATACATGGAGACACAACAAGGTACTGCGAGAGCTAGCAGACACCCTTGAGAAGGAAAGGCAGAAAAAGAGGAAATGTACCAAACATCAACCGTACATCAACTTTGTAAGATCTGGAGAGAAAACCAATAAGAAAGCAGTGCACCAAGGAGGGATACTGGATGGAGCAAACAGTTGGGAGATGCGGGTTGACTTAGGACAAAGACTAGTTTTCCCAGAGGTCGTCCAAACCAACCTTCGTCCAGATATCCTGCTATGGTCACAGCAAGGGAAGAAAATGGTAATGATTGAGCTAACTGTCCCATGGGAGGATCAATGCCAAGAGGCTCATGAGCGGAAGAAAGGGAATTACGCCGATCTTGCAGACGACGTGAGAGCAAAAGGATGGAGTGTGTGGGTCTTGCCAGTAGAGATGGGGTGCAGAGGGTTCCCTGCACAGTCCATGTGGAGGATGTTTTCTACACTAGGCATCCAGGGAAGAGATCGAAGGGCACCTGTTCAATGACTATCAACAACAGCAGAGAAGTCGTCCAGCTGGCTTTGGTGGAGAAGAGAAGATTTGAGCTGGAAGCCATCCATCGACGGGCAGTGATTTGGCCAATCACTGTCGACTCGCCAACTTGAGGAGGTTTCTGCAGTCTAGCGATTGTTTTAAGGTAATTATATGTTTCGTGAACTCAACAATATTGCTACAGATTAAAAAAAACAAAAACAAAAAAAGCCGTTCACTCACTTTCTCAATAAAAATCATCACCAAATCTGGTCTCAAACACAAGAATTACAGACGGGTTTAAAGTTAAAGTTAAAGTAGAGAAAGCAGAAACTAATATCATATAATGACAATTAAGAAACAGATGTAGATAATCTGTAGATAAAAACATTCTAATGAACAGATAATATTGCATGCGGTATCGCTTTGTTTCTGCTAGATTCGGAGGAAGCATTATGTTACTAAAATTGACTTGTGAGTGTATGACATAAACTGCTGATAGTTGTTTATCATAGTGTATACTTGT